ACCTTTAAACGTTTTAATTTAGTTTTTTAGTTTTTTATTTTCTTCTCTCTCTCTCTCTCTCTCTCTCTCTCTCTCTCTCCCACACACACACTCACATGCAATATGAGTCGCGTATGTAAACGTGTAGTGGAAAATTGGAAATAAACCAGGTCTGTTTTACATTTTTTTTGCCATTGAATAGCTTCCTGTTTTTATCTTGTTACTTGATTTTATAATACAGATTTTGGCATGAATATTTTATATCTCAAGGTATTTAAGTTATGCCATTATAGAGTACATAAAGTTCGCTGAATGTGGATTTATTCTCACATGCATGCATTTTGTTTTCATTTTTTATATTATCGCTCATTCACAATGTGAGACAACATCTCTATCATAGTTAGGGAGAAGAAGATTTAAATAACAACGGAGTTCTGTTTTGTTTTCAAGTTGTTGCTTTGATTCAAGTTGATCCTTTTGGTCATTTGGCTGTTGTTATCTAAAGATTTTGTACTGTGGGAGAACAAAGGCTTGTCCTTTTGTTATAATTTGAATTGCATGTTAACATCTTAATATTTTAATTTTAATTTTAATTTCTTTTTTTGATACCATTATAATGATGATGTCTGGACAATTTAGTATTGTGAATCTTGGTTCATCAATGAATGGAGTGTTCAACTTGCAAGTTATATTCATTTTAATGATGACAACATTGGTTCCAGGCGCCGGGGGCCAAAGATCTTGTCATTAGAGTTTTCTTATCTGTTGACAAGAAACTGCAAGTGAACCAACGTTTTCTGGAGATTGTTAACGATGACAGTTACTCTTCAGAGTTTCCATACAAATCAGAGGTTAGTTAACATTTCCAAAAAATTAGTAAGCCAATCATGATACTTGTGTTGTCATTTTTTAGGCCGTTGATGTTGAAAGGAGTCTTGAATTTGATGGTTTTTGCTAGCTCTACTGTGTTTTTTACTTGGATTTATTTGATGATTTTTTGCAGGCCATATTGCTGTTTCAAAAAATTGAAGGCATACACGTTTGTCTTTTTTGCATGTACGTCCAAGAATATGGTTCGGAATGTCCATATCCAAACAATCGTCGTGTCTGTCTTTCATATGTTGATTCTGTCAAGTACTTCCAGCCTGCAATTAAGTCTATTACTGGGGAGGCTCTCCGTAGTTTTGTATATCGTGAAATTTTGGTGAGAATCTCATGATTCTTCATGCTTTTCCTTTTTATCCATTCTCTTTTGTTCATTTGTCTCACTCTTAATCTGACAGCATAAGATTAAGGTTAGATATTAATATGATATTTTCCAATCCAGAATTATGGATTGCATGCATGGTTCAAAAATTGTATGGCTGATTTAAAAATATAGAATCTGATGTTTCGGTTCATTGCCTGTTACGATATGGGATAGTTATGATGTCTAGGTTAAGACTGGCAAAAATGATCGTACATTGCTGGTTTTTTCAATTTATTAGGTAATTTATATAAGTGGGTTTCTACCATTTTAGAAAACTTGCAATCTGTCTGGTATAAATTCTGCTACTTCCTGTACTTTTTGGGATATCACTCAAATATCTTCTATTTATCTGATGATATTTTTTGAAATTACATTGAATATTTAGTAATGAGAATAACATAACTTTTGTTCTACTTCCTTCTTGATATCTGATATAATGGCTGTTAGTAGTGTATATCGGTGTCAGCCCCTACCCAATATGGTTGTTTATCCCATTGTATTGAACTCTGATCGCACACCATGCCTTTATAAAACCTAAGTGAATGATGCAGTCTTGTTAAAATATTTTAGTTGTGGCACTTATTTTTCTGTGATGAACAATTATGTGAGTGATCTGTGGAATGATTGATTTTCTTTTTTCAGGTTGGATATCTTGAGTATTGCAAAAGAAGAGGGTTTATGAGCTGTCATATATGGGTCTGTCCTCCTACGAAAGGAGATGATTATATTTTGTATTGCCACCCAGAGATACAAAAGACCCAAAGTTGGATAGACTACGTCAGTGGTGAGCTCTCTCTTTCTTGCAGTGTGTGCATATGTGCGTGTGTGAGCCCATGTATTCTTATTTTCATCTACATCCAGTCATTACTATATATGCCAATTTGCTAACAAGAAATGCCAATTTTTGAGGTTTAAAGTACTCTGTCTTAGAGGGGAATTTATAATGAGCTGGAGTAGAACTAGTTGTTTGTTTCTTAGGTATCTTGATACGATACAAAAGGCTACAGATGAAGATATTGTAGTGGAGCATACTAATATGTATGAACAATTCTTTGTCTGTACTGGTGAAAAGAAGGCAAAGGTGACCTTGACTTCTGTGCCATATTTTGATGGGGATTACTTTTCTAGAAGGGCATAGTATATTATTGCTAATATTGATAAAGAAGACGGTGAAAAATGACAAAAGAGTAGAAAAAGACCAGCTTCAAAAGTGGCTCCGAAATATTCAACCCAAGCTATTGTTGCAAATGATACTGCAAAGGAAGCACTCTTGACACAGAAAGTACGAACCAATTTTCTTTTAGCTATATCTTTCAAAATCATTGTCTTTTTTTTTTTGCTACTTGAACTGTTATATATTAAACATTCTTGACCACTTATCAAAAAACCACATTTGTCCTCAGATGCCACTCTTTTACAAAGATAACATCATTAATTAGTGAACTTGCCATTTTCTTGGGATCTTTAACATTCTTTCTGTCCTTTTAAGGGTTTATGTGGTTCTTTCTTTGTTAGTTTGTTCATCTTAATGAATGTAATGCTAATTTACACTGTATTTCCTTTGCCAGCTTGGAGATTGCATTCGTAACAAGAGGGAGGATTTTATTGTGGTTCACATGCAGCATGCATGCAAGTACTGTGGTGAATTTGAATTATCTAGGAAGCTTCGGGTTTGCATGTTGTGTGAAAAATTTTATCTTTGTGAGAAGTAAGTGCTTATTTTTAAGTGGATGAATTTTTACAATTTACCCTTCTAAGTGACTGTTGTCTTTCAAATGTTGGTCTTAAGATAAACTCGCATGATTCTTGAAAATCATATCATCTTTGTTTTATTAAGAACATAAAAGAAAAGCTTTCGTAAACTGAATGAATGCCATAGAATTTAATTGCAAAAATGCACTAAAGTGGATATTTTAAAGAACTTATAATTTCACCTTTTAATTCGGTCAGTATGCGATGCAATATCTATTTGCATCAAAAGTAGTTTTTAACTTTTAAATGATGAAAATGTTAACTAATTTTTTGTTTATCTTGAAGTTGTTATGAGGCCGAACAAAATGCTGATTGCAAGAATCGAATTCCCTGTAACAGAAGGGGAAAGCATTCCTTTTCTCCTGTAAGTAGAGCAATTAGACATGAAGTCTCTCATCTAAATTTCAGCATACATGGATTATCTTCTGTGCATTTCAACTGTTAATATTTATAGCTTTCTTAAATATGACTGTATAGTATGGTGGACTATATAAAAATCATGGTCCATTGGGTCATTGCAAACCATTTTGAAAGATGGGCCGTGATGGAGTGTGTGTTGGGTTCACTTGAATTGACATGGAAACCTTACTCCTCTCCATCACTCTCCATCCCAGCATTGGAGGTTGATGAACCAATGGACATTGCTTTACCCATTTCCATTTTATTAGGTTATATTTACCCTTACTAAATTCTATTTACAGCTTCATTTAGCTTTTTGATCGCTGTGCTTTTGGCTATATTAACACCACATATTAACTCCTTGCAGGTTGAGATGAATGATCCTCCTTCAAGCACCCAGGACAAGGATGGTATTTTGCAAAGTGCAATGTTTTATACACCACAAGCCTTCTTAGGCTTCTGTATAGATAATCATTTACAGTTTGATACCTTACGTTGTGCAAAGCATTCCTCTTTTGTGATCATTGATACTCTTCATGACAATTTCCGCAAGAGCTTACATTGTCAACCACTGAAGGGTCAAGCGGAAAATAACGAGGTGAGCAGAAAAGGGGTTTGTTGAACATTCCTGTTAAAATATGTTGCTAAGTTGAATCACTAAGAAGTTGTGAAAGAACACATTATGGGGTTTCTATGGATTGATAAATATGTAGTTAGCTACATTTGTTTTAGCATGGACAAAGTATATTCTAATCCACTGCACTATGGTAAAACCCCGGTCATGTTGGATCTTCCTTATACATTGAAGTGATGGACAGTGATAGAGATTGACATGGAGCCACTCACCCGAGGGTTGTTGCCACTGTTCCTCCATCACTATCCATGGCTTTAGTAGAGGGTGAATGGGGATTTCTACAATGTATTGGGTTACGTCATAATTTCTCTTGAGCATGTATATATCATTGTTTTCCCATGATGAATATTCCTTCGAAGATTGTATGATTTTTGTGTAACATGAATCATGAGAGTGCATTGCATGTTACATCATGAAGTAGGAAAATGACAGAAGGAAATAAAACATAAAAAAATCTTTTATGGGACCCAAAATTCAGTATTTCTATTTCTATTTTCCTTCTCACATATTTATAAAAGTAACCTTAAGTCACTTTCCCCATAAGAAACCCTAGTCACTATTAAATCTTAGCCCTTCATCTTCTCAAATTAAATTCCAACTCTATCCCTCAATTCTCTATAACAAAAAAAGACTTAATTACCGAAGATAACTAAAAAAATTTAATGATCAAATGAACCCAATCTCTTCTCTGAAGAAAAAAGCAAAATAAACTAATCTACCTGTTACCTTTCATGCACACACATGGGAAGGGGGTTCTAATAGTTATTTTACAGCCTTGGATTGCATGATCTCTTTACTCACCTTCAAATAGAGTAGGATCTTGTTCTTTGACTTGGGTGAGCAATGCCAATATCCCAATTGTTTTGAACTTGAAGAACTTTTCAATGGTTGTGCTAACTCTAGTGGTGCAATGTCTGACCAATGGAGAAATGGCATTTGAATGATGTGATCCAGACATGATAGGGAGCTATCCTTACTAGATCACTTTCAAATGCTAATCCAGTTGAGAGCACTGAAGAACAAGGGATGGTCGCTTTCCCCCACCCCCCCCCCCCCACCCATATTAATATGAAGTTTTATATCTATCCCCACCCCCAACACCCCCCCCTTCTGCCGGTATTATTCTGAAGTTTTAAATATCTCTCCCCACCCCCCCACCTTATCGGTGTCTAATATCATATGCATCATCAAACTTAATGCTCTCTTGTGGTTTAATCTGAGGAGTCCTAAACATTCTCTCTCTCTCTCTCTCTCTCGCAAATCCATCTCAACAATGTCATTTTTCCTTTGTTTACCTGATTAAAGGTTTTCATTTGCACTAGTTAACACTATAAATTTGCCTATGTATTATCAGCTTGAAGGATCAAAAGTCGAATTCCAATAGGAGATTGGTGTAAAAGAAGAAGAACCGACCTTTCATTGCCTTACGAGTTGCAGAGGTAGGAGGAAAGAAATAGAACCAAAAGAGGTTGCTGATTCATTCAATATTTGCTCTGATCTTCCTTTGAGGATGCTGTGTATAACAATTAATTTGCAATACTCTCTTTTTCTCCCTCTATCTATCTATCTATTTATCTGTCTATCAATCCATCCATCTATCCATTTCCTTCTATTTATTTGTCTCTTCATGTATTAGCCATGACATTGTATATTATAATTTAATCTGATAATTATTTTTTGAATTCATTTTCTGATCTTACCTTAAAGATGGAGCAATTGTACAATACTCAAAAGGAAAATATCCACACCCATTGCATGATACTTGAAAGAAGGTATTCCATACTGAAACTTGTCTCAGGACAAGGGTTTTTTGAGCTTTTCAACAGGTTCTTGGAATGTGATGGGCATCGGGGATTGAATTTTAGTAATTGTATGCATGTGAAACCATAAATGACGGTCCCCCGACTCATCTATTTATATAAGTCCTCCTTCCAAAATCCATCTCGAAGTCCTCCCTCCAAAATCCATCTCTTCTTTGAGATGGATTCTAGATCCAAAAGTTTAGGGGTTGAGAATCTCCATCACGGTGAATATGAATCTAAAAAAAGATAACTTTTTAAAACAAAATATGATATTTTTGAGATGGATGTTTGATGCATCATGGGGACGCATATGGCATGCGTCCCTTGATGCACGAAACACTTTTCCTACCGTAAATCCACCGTTTTTGGTAACTAAAAGCTTCTTAATGAATGTTCTATTTTTAACAGGTGGTTTTTTGTGAACTCAAGAGTTTGAACATGTACTTGCAAAATTACTATATTTTCAAGGGAAAGTATACAATGAGACTATTTACTTTTGGTACATGGTGGTCACAAATAATCTTGACCATTAGATGTAAAATTCGGTGGTATATTTATTTCATTGATCGAGCTCAAGGTTCATAAATTTTTTTGAACTTTGTGCTATCAGATTTTACATCGGATGGTTATAAGTAATTGTGACCTCAGTATACTAAAGTTTAATGGTTTCATTGTATAGAATCCCTATTTTTAAAGGTCCTTTGTGGCGAGCGGTTAACTAAGAGGGTTGGCAATGGGTCACACAGTCCGGCCTGATTCCAAAGGAGGTAGGCTATGGGCCACAAAATATGGCCTGAGGACCAGGCCACCGCGGCTCAAGGGCCGAGTCTACCGGGGCCGAACCATACCAGGCCTGATGTTTCTCCTTAAAGACTTCTTTTTTTTTTTGTTAAATAGTCTATGTGACCCAGCTTGGCTTGAGCCAATATCCCTTTGACCCAGTCTTGGCAATGCAGGCCGGGGCTGGCCCGATCCATTGCCAGCCCTAGACATCTCACTGACCGGCCTTGACTATCATGACATCACAAACTCCAATCATTTTTCCCTTGATTTTTGTGCAAATCTAATTATCACAATTGTAACTAGTGCTTTTTCTGCGTCGATAGAGGTTAAATGTTGATGATTATTTCCAGTAATGTAATGTAGTAACTACTATTTAAAGGCCCACATGCCAACACACATACTCTCTCTCTCTCCTTGCATTGTGCATGTTCAGGAGCATACTATACATTTACTCCATCGGATGAAACATTTATTTTAAAGAATTTTTTTTGCATTTTTTGAAAGTTTGTGTTCTATCTAATTATAACTAGATGATTATTTTCAAATAAAAAATTGTAGATTTTGAGTTCTTGAACATCTAGATCATATCCTCCAAAAATTGGATGGTTCCAGTGCAATCTTGGGATTCTATTCTTTTTAGGCATATAGAGAGTGTATTTTTTTTTTTTGGGGATAATATCCTCTTATCTTCTATTTTTAACTTCTATATCTCATTAGACCCAAAAGTTAAAAATATTACTTGTAAGAAAGATGACTCCATCTTTTTTATATTCCAATCCCCTAAACCCTTTTGACCATGTATTATTGACTTCAATAACTTATGAATTGACTTTATCTCTTTCTCTCTCTAAAACTCCATCTCTCTCACATCATTGACTCTCTCCCTCTCAAAACTTCATTTCTCTCTAAAACCCAAACTCCGTTTCTCTCTCTCACCTCATCGTCTCTCTCTCTTTTTCACTCAAAACTCCATCTCTCTTCCTAAAACTCAAACTTCATCTTTCTCTCTCTAAAACTCTATCTCTTTCTAAAACCCAAACTCCATCTCTCTCTCTCTAAAACTCCATCTCTCTCTCACACATAAGAAGTGTGCTCATGTTCGAGCTCAAGCTCCCTTGGCTGGTAAACTCACCGAGAAGCGAAGAGATAGAGATTGAGTTTTAGAGAAAGAGATATGTATTTTGAATAGAGTGTCATTTTAGTGTTTGTTTGGGTCAAAATTTTATGGTTAAAGAGGTACAGGTGATTGTAAAATAAAAGGATGAATACATTTTGCTTCCAAGCAATATTTTCATTTTTTGGATCTCATGAGATATGAAAGTTAAAAATAAGAGATAAGGAGATATTTTTCTCTTTTTTTTTCTTTTCTTTAGTATTAATTTCTTTGTTTTAGAGATCACATCTCCAAAAATTGCGATCTAAAAGATATTTCTAGTGTAAGTTTTGCCTGCGGTAGTAGATGGATAGTATACTCCCGC